ATGCCTTTCGCGTATTGTGTAGTAAATAATCTGAGCTGTAATGTGTTTTGAAAGACTACTTCGAATAGTATTATTAGTAATTGTATTTAACATAGTTAAAGTGAATTTGATTTGCAGTTCTGCTGAAATAGATGAATTATTTTAAAATAGCTTGTTCAGACAATTTGGGGGAAAAAAATAGGGGTTGATTGTAGAGCAGTACAGATACTTGTAAGTAGCCTTTAGAAGTCTGTCCACTTCTCCAGTCTGCCTGGCATTTCTCAATGCACTTCCGAAGTTCTGGCAGACTTGGGACAGTACTAAGAAACTGCCAGCTAGTTTTATTAACAGGATTGCAAGAATGTTTCAGGTAGAGCACATGCATCCTAAGTTTCTGAGACTGTTCCTTGATCTTCAAGAAATACAGGTTAAACACTTATTAAACACTTTCCTAGAGTTCTGCCTCTTCTTAATTAGGCATGGAGTTCTGTTTGTGGGCTGTTGTAACTTCTTAGCTTTCTGCTACATAAACCCGAGTTTGCCCTTTCTGAGAGTCCCAGCTGTGTGTTCTTTAAAGGCAGCACACATTGTCACTCTTTACTACTTACTTATTTATTCTTTGTGAGAAGTTGTGAGGCCTTACAGTGAGAGACTGAGCTTTCGCTTTTGGCCTGAAACCAAAAGTGAACTTCTCCAAAAGATGTTTTGGCACCGGCACATTTCTTCCTCGGGAGGGAAACCCAGGCAGCGTAGCTGGGAGGGCATTTTGCTGCCATTGCATCTAGGATAGAAATCCACCCTCCATTAAATGGCATGCTTAACTCTCCCCGCTCGCTCCCCACTCCAGATGTTATGCAATGCAGAAGCCCGGCTGCCTGCACACTGAAGCACATCCAGCGCCGCAGGTTTGAGGGAGGGGGCTGCTAGGAGTGATTTTTGTGGTAAAGTGAAGTTCCAGGTGTCTACAGCTCTTCAGTGTTATGTGATAGTATGGCCAGGAACGTGTCTGAACTTGTCTAGGCTCAGTCTACCTACATAAGAAACTCCTTCTGAAAACCCTTTGTGTTAATGTTTTAAAAATAGGGATTGTTTAGGTCAGGCATTTGATGGCGAATGAGTCTGTGCCAAAATACCTACTCGCAGTCTTCCTAGCACGAGAACGGTTGTAGGTTGTGGTTGATGGTACCAGGGCTGATTGGACTCTGAAAACTCGCAAACAGTTGTTGTGAAGTGTCAGTGCAGCCTTGACTGCTTTTCAGCAATGTGGATTAGTGTGAGTGTGAGAGCGGAGGAAACTTTGCACAGAATGTGCATTTTATTTTTTGTTGACACTCAGTTAAGGCCTATTTCGTGAAAGTCATTAGGTTCCTCTAAAGCTGGTATGGAATTTGTATTGTGACAAGGAAGAGGAAATTTTTTCTTTAATTGAAGTGTATACCAACTTTGAGGGTGAGAGGCTGCAGCATAAGGCTTGGAGCTTCTTTAATTCTGTGAGAAAGTGAATTAATTTTATTTGAGTAGCTGGTGGTGCTGGATTTAAAATCCATATTTCAACACACTTGGCTATGAAGGGATTCCTAATTTGGAATACTTAATGTATGTATATTTCACTAATTTCCATATGATTTCTTTACATTCTCTTTTTAGCTGATGTTTAGAAAGCTGAATTTTTATTACTCTAGTAGGTGTGATATTTAATTGAAATGTGTCAGATAATGATGATTTCCATTGTGTGTGTGTGGGGGGAAAGTTTTATTGTTTCTAACCCTAGCCTTTTTTGATCTAGCTTTCTGGTGAAAAAGGTCTTTTTAAGGTCATTGTTTGTAAGGTAGTCAGATCTCTTCTGAGGGTCCGCATTTTTTTTCTTACACTTGGAAGAATTTGTAGCTGTATCATAGTTTAACTAGTACTGTAAAGAACATGTTTTGCATTAAAATATTTATAAGGTTGTCTCTGAAAATACTACAGAAATCTGCTGTAAAACCTCCTTCTGTGTTGTGTAAGATGTAGGGCCTTTCTGTATGAATGAGGGGAGCTAAGTTGAGGCAGGCATTAGCTCGTGGTGATACTGATTTTTACACCAGCAATCTGAAATTATTGAGCATAGCAAGGAAAATGTATCTAATATTTTTGTGCAAGTGTTTTATTGGTTGTGGAGAACAGGCAGAACATTGGCTTTTAACAAAATTAAGATTGCCTTATAAATGCATGTTTTTATCCCTATGGGTGGGGATCTTTCGATCAAATGAACTGCCTATATTGCCCAGAAGTGGATGTACTTGATTGTGAGTCTAAAAACATGTTTTAGCTAATAGTTCTCTTTTTTTATTGCTTTTACTCTGACTTTATAGAATTGTATCATCTTTGCTTTCTAGCAAAGATGACAGGGTGCTACTTTAAGTAAAACTCGGATCTGTGGATGAAAGGATATCTATTTACACTTGATATTAGTGCTGGAGTATAGGTACTATTCAGAGAAATACTTCAAGTGTATTTAGGTAAGACATCAGGACATGCAGAATTTAATAGAACAGGCTCAAATCAACAGGATTCACTCACACATGATGCATTTCCCACAAAGGGTAACACTAGTACTCCTGGTCTTGATTTTTAACCTTGCAGGTATTTGCAGAACTGCCACAAAAAAACCCAAAGCGTGCAGATGTCCTCCATTAACAGATTTTTGGACTGCTTTTCAGAAGAAGCTCTCCAAGTGTGTGTCAGGAAGAACTCAGGTTTGAAATGCCCCTGCTCGGCTGAGACACAGACAGGGTACCATGTGTTGGCCAAAGGACAGTACTGGTGTGTGGGCAGGCTCCTCACCTCCATGCCCTTGGCTGTCCTGCACATGCTGTGTTTAAAGGGTTTGCTGATACAATAGACCCAGTCACCCCATGGTGTGGTGCTTTTCCAGTCTTCAGGTAGCTGTGTGTTACATTTCAAAGATCTATGGAAAAAGCATATGTGGTGGGCAAATATAAGGACATGCAAAGTCAGACTGTGCAGCCATAAAGTTTTTACCTGTCAGGGTATGAAAATTGAGGTGGAATGTGGGGCCTTAGCTGCACCATGAAGCCTTTGATTGTGTGGTTATATCAAAAGTCAATTTTACTGATTACAGCATGACTCTACGTGATTGATCTGGTAGAGGGGTTCACTACAACTAACTGCTGCCATTAAAATACCTGCATTTTTATTCCACCCTTGCTTAAACACCAGCAACCCCCCAAGAATTTAGTTGATCTCTTAAATCAGAACACTGGTTTTATATCATTCTTTAGATGCAGATATGCTTCTCTCCTGTTACTGACCAAATACTTCTGATTATAGACCTAATATGGTGTTAGATTTGTATTTGTCGTAGATTTTGTTGTGGGGGAAAAGTCTATTCTTGTCTGGTCTTACATGAAGATCTCTTCTCTAGTTTTTATTTGGAAATCCTGACTGAAGTGTAGTTAATTTGGTTTCCTTAGCTATTTGAAGACAGTGTTCTTATTGATGTCCAGTAAACTAATCAACTGCTATCAGAGAAGATTCTTCAATAGCTGTTCTGTCTTGCTACATTTACTGAGTTTTCCTCTTTTTCCCCACATGTGAGAAGTCAAATGGAAGGTAGGATAAAACAGCAAATGGTAGGATTTTCTATTTCCCTGAACTAATGAATATAAACCCTTCTTTCGTGTTCGTACTGGCATTGCTGGATTTGCCACAGAGATGATTATGCCATTGCGAGTGGGGAGCTGTGGTGTGTGTGTGTTACCTTACAAGAGTTCCGGGGTCCCTGCTGTCCATGTTTTGTTGGCTCTTTGTCTCAGTCTGTGGGACTCCTGTGACTTCCCTTTTGCTAATTCATTCACATAAATCTGAGGAAAACTTCCCCACCACTCTGCAAGTCTGTGAGATTTATCTTGAGCTTAGTCTGGATACTCCTTTCCTTTTGAGAGGGCAGTGGGGAGAACCCTTATGTCATGGAGGAGGCAGGAAACTCGAGATCTGATCCTTCAGGTCAGTCCTCCTTCTTCCCTGGAAGAGTCTTTGGGGTAGTTCCATAATCATCCAGGCATCTATTAGGGAAGTGACAGCGGCGGCTGGGAAGTCATGTTACTTCTCTTCTTCTTATATCAGGTGATAAAACAAAAACAGTCTTGTGTTCTTTGTATGTCTCAGTATGTAGGACGTTTTTAAAGTAATCTAGGTCTTACTGTGACACTAGTCAGATTAATATTTGTGGGTGGTGACCAATCAAACTGTATCTGATGAGAGGGGTGAAGCACTTGGTTTAGCATGTCCTAAAAGTAAAGTAGTGGGAAAGAGGGAAGATGAAGATTTAAACTTGATGCTGTTCTTACAGTGGTTCATCAACTGTTTTAGGGTCCTTACAGGCATAGAAATGGGTCTAGTAGCTCTTGAGGTACTGTTGCCAAAATGCCAGAACAGTCTGGCAATCTCCAAGCTATGGCTGCTGCTGAGCAGTGTGTACATAGGGTCATTCATACCCTGTGGCTGGGGAGCAGAAAACAGCTTTTAAACTGTGAAGTGTCTCGTGGCTGACTTAAAGTGTAGTGAATGCTGTCTTAGTCCATGTGAACTATTGTAGACTGTTGCTTCTGTGGTGTCCACAACTATCCCCTGATGCTACTAGAAATAACATTAAAGAATTAAACAATTTAAAATTATTTTCTTGGACAGCTTTTATCTACTGCGTTAAAAACCGCACACATTTCTTCTCCAGAATAACTCAAATATTTGACCTGATTATTGTGAATGAAATCTAGACTTTAAATATATTGTATTTTTAACTATGGAACTTACTATAATTGTGCTATGCTCCAAGTTAACAAAACATTTAAAAATTGGGTGCATGTGAAATGGAAATGTAAGCAGACAACTGTAGCAGAGGGAATTGAGTGCAATATAATTTTAGTCCAGCTGGACTGCCTTACATGCCTGAACTTGTTCTCAGACAGTTTCTGTAGCTTAATCCCCCTTTACTTTAATGCAGACAGTTATAGATCGGTGACATGGTTTATACTGAGGAATTAGCAGTTACAGAACCTTTTGCGTACTGTTGGCTCTTGATTACTTTCCACTGGGAAGAGCTGTTGCTTGTTTTCAATGGCAGCAAGTAGAAAGCAGCTCCTGCTGTGACATTCTCCAAATATTTCACCCCACACTTAAAGCTCCTGACCACCTGCTTTAGGAGGGTTCAGCTGCTGGGGATGGCTGTGTGGGTGGACTCATGCTTGCAAGCAGCATCGTGGTATTGATTCTGTCGTTGAAATCGCTTGCTGTTGGTTGGCAAGGTACAGTGCTCAGCCAAGTGCAGGCACCACGATAATGGTTGGACTGCCAGGGTGTGTGTGTGTGTATGTATATAGAAGCCTGCTGAAGGAAAGTGATTTCCTCTGGTGGCTTGGGGTGCGCTGAAAATGGTGTGCCTCTGCTGCGGCCTCTCGGTTTCTTTCCTTGTGCTGCCCCTGCAGAGAGCACAGTACTACTGCTTCTGTCACCGCAGGTTTCTGTCTTCTTCCTGGAAAATCCCTCTGTATTTGGCACTGGCTGTTTTCAGCGAAGACAATGAAATGTTTTTCTGTGGCTTCGTATGAGAAAGTATGTAAGCTTCGAATTAGCGAGCTCTTTTTTTCCCCCTGCTGCTTAAGTTCAGCTTAAAGCTTTCAACTCCCCTCAGTGGTCCTTTTGGATCACATAATGTCGTCTAAGGTAGTTTCCCAACCTTGTAGTTTGGTGTAAGAGAGGTCAAGAATGAAGATAACTGATACACGGATTTTTGCTTTCTGAAATTATGTCTGTTGAAAGCTATTCACTGATTAAAATTCCAGTCCTTCAAAACATCTTGAGACTTTCCACTTAATTGCCATGTGTCATCTGTATTGAAAATGTTTGAATTGAAAACTCCAGGTAAAAGTGCTTCCCTGTGGTGTAATGAGTACATCTCCCACCCCCTTCAGCTTTCTCTAAGGCTCTGAGTGAGGCGTCTCCTACTTCAGGAGTGGTTTCAGATGTCCTAGCCTGTAGTGTGATCAATCCAGTTCCCCAGTAGCTGGGGCAAATAAAATCCGTATCAGATACTAGAAGACTAAGAGACAAAAAAGTGGACTTAGGATTGCCTCATTTGGATGTCCTCCATGTACATTTTTAGTCTCTCCCACCTGTATCATGTAGAGATGTTCCATTATTTAGGAGTGAGAAATTATCCATCTGCTGCGGTATTTCTTTTGTACATTTCTTTTTGTTTTTAACAATAGACACCTTACAGGGCATTACGGTGCCTGGTTACATACTGCATTTGGAGAATGAGAGAAAGGTCTGTAAAGAATTCAGTTACGGAAACAGTACAAGGTGTTCTACGTAACATACTATGTTCTTGAGATTTTATTGTACTTTTAGATCACTGCTCATTTTTTGCATTGCAGGCTTCCAGGAGAATAACACCGAAGTTTTTCTCATGACAAAATACTGCGCCATATGTGAGTGCTGAGGACATACAAGGAACATGCGTTGCGGCTTGGGCACTTGCCTGGCTTTTCCCTTCCTCCACATAGGGAGGGAGATGTAACTTGGCATTCACTTTATTACAGTTGCTCTGCAGAACAAAGTGACCGAGTCCATTTGTCAAAGTGCTTTCTACTTGACTTAATAAATGTCCTCTACTTACTGTCTGTGTATGATCTAAGGGCTACATCCTGTGTGAAATTCTGAATTGAAGGCTAACTCGATATTGCCTTTGACAGTGCAGGAGAATCAGAGCACTGGAAACTTTCACCCGTTAGCTGGTGAGAGGTGGTGTGGCTGCAGGAGCTAATAAGAGCAAAATTTGCATGCTGGATTTTGAGCTTAAGCTGGGACTTGATTTGAATTTTTACGACACAAAAATCTTATTTTCTTAAATCTTTGGCTCTTTCATCAAAGAATTTGACAATAAATGAAAACTTACAGATTTCTGTAACATAGTTAAAAGTTTAATTTTAAAGTTGTTGCTTTCTGCTGTAAGTGTTACTTTGGAGTGGAGTTCTTGTGTGTCACCAGATACACTGGACAACCTGCACATTGTAGGGATTTTTTCCAGTTCCAATCTTTAAGCTGCTGGATTGAAAAAAAAAAAAAAAAAAAAAAAAAAAAAAAAAAAAAAAAAAAAAAAAAAAAACAAACAACCAAAATACTGTTCCTTGTGCCAGCCATGCACGATGGTTGGTGGGAGAGGTGTGTGGGAAGGTTACAGCTGCTGGATGGTAGGCGATTCCTCCGATTCACTTTCTCTCTACCTGTTTTGAGACTATCTCTTTGCCAGGACTCTAATGTCCCTTGTCTTGTAGGTTAGGACAACCTCTTTGTGTTGCTTTCCTTCTCAGATGCTTAACTTCTGTATGTTGAAAGTGTTATATGTTTTGCTGGTAACAGAAGGATTAGGTATTGTGCATATGCCCTGCTTTGCATAAGGCCGCAGTGAGTAAGCCTCAGTGCTTCGGTTTCTTCATTCTCCTAAAAAAAGAATCTGATTCAATTAATTAAAAAAATATTTCCAATTACCTGTATGTTGCCTTTTGTTTGCACAATAGTTAGGTTGTATAAGGAGGCCTCTAGTTTGTGGATTGATTTGGAAGGGTTTCTATTATTTTTGAATGCTGCGTGTGACCTAGTTAATTGGGAGTAATTACTGGCTAAATATATTGGTTTAACATAACAAAAGGCTGTCTGGAAAAAGACAGGGAAGGGAAAGAAAGGCTCGCGATAAACCACCTCTTTGCAAATACTTAAGAGTTGTTAAGGGACATCTCCAGAGCTATTAGCAGAGGAGGTTTTAACTTCAGTATTGTAATTTAGCTCCTGAGGCTTGAAACAAAGCAGCAGAGCAAAAGAATTGATCTGAAAAGGAACACTTTCTCTGGTTCTGCGGGTAGTATTTTGTTGGAAAAGCACTTGACTTGTAAGAGTCATGGGATGCCCTTGGAGAGGAAGGAGTGGGATACCTGCAGCTACAATGGATTTGGTTGATAATAAGGAGCTATAACCTGTATTTGCTGCCTTCTCTCTCTCTCTTTCCTGAGTCTTGCTCTTAGGACTAAAATTGAGCACTGTGTTGATTTTAAGTAGGCTCAGCAGGTCTCTGGGGTGACTTCTGATTGCAGGCTTTTCTCAGGAGTTTGAGCCTAAATCCTGTCAGACCTGCTCTGTAAGTATGGCAGAGGGACAAACTGTTGCTGTCCAGGACTTCTCTAAAAATGGAAAAATTGCTTCATTTAGGAAAGGTAAGGAGGGCCTGACACCTGAAGGGCTATGTTAAGAAAGAGATGAATGGCCATCCCTGTAATTAGTGGAGATCAGTCAAGTAAATTACACTGGCTGGATTTGGCATGCTCATCTTCGTTTCAAAGTTGTTTGGTTTATAATAATAATTTATCTCATGTGGCAAAGAGCAAAGGGGTAGTGTGGTGCAAGTCACACCTAGGAGGAGTAAAATGAAGCAGGCATGGATGTGTAAGCAGAAGCCTTTAAATGATAACTCCTTCCTCTGAGGTCTAACTCCTTGTTCCTGTCCCTGAAGTGTCTGAGGTTGGTGCTATGCAATTACAACTGGGGCACAAGGGTACAGACCTAAAACAAAAAAGTACATATATTTTTTTTTTAAGAGACAAATTTCAGGGCCTTGAGTGTGTTTGACCTTGAAGCTGTCTCTCTCATTAATGCTTGCGTTTGCGTGTAAAGTCCACTAATGTTGTGCCTGTAGTAGAAAGGCAGAGCAGCAGGCTGTGCTGCTTAGTCTCAAGAACCTGCAGATGATCAGGTTGCAAGTAGTTTGCCTCAGCAAATGGCACTCATTTTCCCCAAGCAAAGCAGTGCCTTCAAATTGATACTTGGACTTTTCGGGGGGGGGGCAGAAGAGGAGGGGGGGAGTGCTGTCTCTTGGAAAGAGGGGAAACAAAGCTACCAGCGATACGTTGGGGGCTTTGCTGGTTGTGTAAGCAGAGAAAGTGGCTAAAATGTGAGCTCTGTGGGTATCTCTTGCAGCAGACCGGTGCCATGCGGCCTCTCAGTGGCTATCTCGTAGGGTCGCCTGTGTCAAAGAGCTTGAACTTCAGTCAGATTTGCTTTGTCATCCTGACTTTGGCTCTTGCCACTTTCAATTTCTCTTTAGATTCTGGAAGCTTCTTTCTAATTCTCTAGTGGGAAGGCCAAGATGTATCCAAAAACACAAAAGGGCTCACCCCAAGCAAAACCCTCTGTACATTGATTAAAACACTGGGAGCAGGAAGGTTCATTTGCGAATAACTGATAGCAAAAGGGTGGCAAATCTGTTTTGCAGCACGTGTGCTTCTTTAGTTAGGTTTTAACTAAATGCTGCAGAGGACTGGAGTTGTTTCCCAATGGCAATGCAAGCAATGAAATATGACACAGGGAGGGGAAGAGAGTTGGCAGAGGGCCTATGTGCACAAATAGCCCACTACCTTTTGAAGCGTATTTACGGCCAAGCAAACAAAAAACAGTACAGGCTGCCTTACAACAAATTACAGTAGAAATCTTCCCCTTGGAACTTCTATTTTTTCCTGTTAATGTCAATGAAACTTCATTGCTACTGATTCCTAAATCATAACTCTCAAGGTGTTGTGCTGTGTCTGAAAATGTGTCTGTGTAGTACTGGAGTAGGAAGAGAAAGAGCTGTATTGCTGTCTCTTGTAGCTCTTAGAACGCCTTTTGCCTTGGGTTACTGTAACACAGGAAGAAATCCTGGTGAAAACTGGACTCTAGATCATAGTGTTAGCTGGTTGAGCGAACAGGAGTCTCTTGGCTCAGCCCTGTTGTGAGTTATGTAAATCTTGTGCAGTGTATAAGCAACAGGCGGTTGGTGACGTAAAACAGCATTTGTCTCTATTTATTGGCTAATGTGACATGCACCCTTCCTGTAGCATTTGACTGAGCTGGCTGTATTAAATATAGCCTTGACACTCCTAAGTAGAAAATGCTTCGAGCTGAATAGTGGCTTCTGGTCTGAAATTCATTGTTCTAAACACGGAAATCTTACACGGTGGCTCTTTTATCTCCCCTTTGTATCAAAGTCCGTTCCATGTTGGTGGTGAAAAGTCTCACTGCAAGCCTCAATTTGCTGAATTTGCCAATCGATTGCCGTGGCGGTGCTGTGCAGAACATTCCTCCAGTGCCTCCTAACACACCGGCTGTGCTCTGGGAGACTTAGCAGGATGTCAGTAGCTCCTGCGGTGATTATCTTCTGTCATTTGTGACGGATTACCAAACTGATACATCTGTTGTTTAGGTCCTCTCCCACCCCTTTCACAGGTGGCTCGCAAATGTGCCTAATACTGCTCTTAGCCCCTTTGACCCAAGCTCTGGTGCTGCTAGCTACTACGCTTTGGGTCTCCCATGTTTTCTGTGATGAGAAAGCAGTGATACGTCTCCCATGCAGTTCTGATTTTATCCAGGATGTCTGATTTTATTTTTTTTTCCCCTTGAACACTGTAGGAATTGAACAGGAGGCAGTTTCTTTGCTCACTGTTTTGAGCTTCTTTCCAGCTGGCAAGCAGTCCGAAAAGCCCTATGTTTGCTTTTTCTCAGGGTCATGCTGCAAATGTTTCTCTTCCTTTCACCTTGGCTTTCTGGCTTTGGTTTAGACACATGACACTCCACCACACAATACAAACCCTCAATATATCACTGTACCCGTATAGGGCAGCTTCTGACTAGCCATGTACGCGGCGTTGTTTTAGGTGGTGGTTCCCAGTTCTCGAAGGTTTTGGGGTTTTTTCAATCCTGCTCAAAAAAGCAATGCAGATTTTTGTCATCATGAATAAAAACCAGTTGTTACTGTTTCCATTGTGTTTGAGATTTTACTCATTTCTATTCTCACAGCACCAACTCACAACGTGTAAATTAGGGCCACAACCTCACAGACATGTGTGAACAGAGAAATTACATGACTTGCCAAACACTTACATAATAACTTAATAGTATATCGTGGAACGGCAGCTAAGACTCATGAATCCTCTTCCTGTTTGACTGCTCCTCTGTTCAAATTAATTATCATACGAGTTTCAGCTATACCACGACTCAGGAATCAATAGCATTTGTGGCTTTCTGAATGTCCTTAGTGTATCACAGACTTCCACTGTCATTTGTCTTTATTCAGTACAAACTTTTGACTCAGATGGTTTGTAAGTTCCTTTCAGTTGTGACTATCCAGAGCTGAGCAGGCACTTGAATGACTAATAAATAGCCTTAGATTACTCGTGGCTCATACATGACCATATGTTTCAAAAGCAGCAAGGCTGGAGTTATTATCCGTAGTTACTGATGCCCTTTGGCCCTGAGAGTTATCATAAGAGCGTTGTGTTTTGTTCATCTTGTGCTCCTTTTGGACCTTTTGTGCCAAAATAAATTGGAGTGGTTCAGTCCTTTTGAAATTACCTCGGGGAAACAAGGCTGGTATAAAGCAACTCCTCTGTTGTTTACATGCTGCTGCATGACACTTCCCTCAGTATCTCTTGAACTTCTTGGCAAACTTCATAAAGAGCTAGTGGGCTAGAGGTCTCCAAGACTCGTAAGTTCCAAGATTTCCAGTGAAAATAAGAAGCAGAGTAGAAAAGTGGTTGAAAGTAGTGTCCCTGGCAAGTAAAATGATGTATTTTGAGCTCTGTTATCTTGGTGCATCTGTGTGTGATAAGAGATAAAAGCTTTAAAAAAAAAACCATGAGCAGCAGAGCTAATAGAGTCTGGATAATATTTCTGTTTAACTGTTTAGGATGACATACGTAAACCTGTGAAAAGGACCTGACCCAGCTGTACTTTAGGTTGTAATCTGCTTTTTTGCTTTCTAGGAATCTACAAGCCGCTATTGGAGCCTACTATGATTTTGAGAGTCCAAATATCAACGTACCCTCCATGTCCTTTGTTGAAGATGTCACCATAGGTGAAGGAGAGTCCATCCCTCCTGACACCCAGTTTACAAAAACATGGAGGATACAAAACACAGGTAAGGCTTTTAGACTGTAGCAAAACCCGTGTAGTGTGTATTACGTGGTAGGATGGCAGATCTAATGGAAGAGATGCTGGCTTGAGGCAGGAGGTTCGTGTGCATTTAGCTTGGAGTAGAGACACCCTGTTGCTGAAGGAGGTGGCCTGCCAACCTGTGTGTATTCCCCTTCTTCTGTTGGCGCAAACGTTTTGTGACGAGATGAGCAGCTCGGACAGTTTACCAGTCTTGTTCCTTGTGCCACCACACAAACAAAAACAAAATCTTCTAGATAAAAGTAATTGAAGTACAAGTTGTTTTGTTGGTGTTTTTTTTTTTTAATGGAAGTAGTAAGATTTGAAAATAGATTAAGAATCCTTAGCTAGTCATGTTTCTGATCACTTGATACAAGCAGTTGGAATATGTTTTTAAGTCAATGAAGAGATCGCTTTTAATCTCAAAGCCTTTTAGCTCATGACCAGCCTGTGTATTACCACTACCCTTCATCACACTGTTTCTCTGACCACCCCTGTTGTTCGGTCATTTGGCTCTCTGTAGAACTGTGCTCTCTGTGGAGGCAGCGATGCAATGATCTAACTCTGAGAAGAGGTAGCGATGCAAGGGTAATGTGGCAGGTACCCTTTACTACTTGATGCACTTTTGACAGAATTGCTTTTTCATGCTCTGAGAGGATGCACGGCTGGAGAGGCCACATTCCAGTATGAAAGAAGTCAAAACAGTGACTGGAATCCAGGAAGTGAGACTGGGCAAAATACATTCTCAGGGCTTGATCTTCTGGGTTGCAGTCAGAGAGAAAAATGAGATCCATGGATGCAAAGCGGAATACTTTGTCTTCCAGTGTTGCAATGACAGGATGTTGCATGAATGTTTAAGCTGTGTGTCTGAATTTAATTGTCCTGCTTGCACTTTTGTGAAGAAGAATGATAGCACAACAAGGTATAATATCATGAATCATCATGAGTAAAGTTCAGCTGTGTTAGTGTTTCTGCTTGTAAATAACTGCAGTGCTCGAGTGCTGTACAAATTTGTGCTGAATATCAGTGTGACAGAGACTGAAGCCATATTAAAAATCTAGGAGTATTTCCTCAGGACATGAGGGGTGAGAAGGGAAAGGGGGAGGGTTTTGAAGAACACTGATTTATAGATACTGTATTCTAGAGAAAGGGCTTAATTATTCCAGTTTACTTTTTCTGCCTCCATTTGTTTGAGTTATTATGGTGGAAAGGTGACACTTATAGCTTGCTTAAATTCCAGTAAGGTGAAAAATTGACTGGCGTTTTTTTATAAGTGTCTCAAATGCAGGTCTTGTTTCTCCACTGTTAGTATCTTAATTTGTGTGTGTTATGACTACACCCCTATCTTGCTCCTTTCCGACTCCTTCCTCTCTTGTTCCTCTGATGTACTCTTCCCTGCATGCAAATTCAGCCTTAATTTAACATCCTAGTTCAAGCAACGTTTCATTGTTCTTAGAACGTTTGACCTTCTGAAATCCATGGGCCTTCTAAAATGAGGAAAGGGAGTTAATCTTGACTTACGGGTTCCTGGCATGGCCAGCATTTGTTTTGGCTTCTGTGTGGGTTAAAGCCTGACTTCTTAAAACGTACATCTGTGCTCTAGCAGAGGTGCTGGAGGCCAGCTCTTGTTAAAACCATGCCATGGAGGCATGTTTTAGTTAAATGCAACTTCACATATTGTGTTATGGCTGTGCCATTTAAGGAGAACCATAGCCATTTTAAAAGCATTTTATGGTTTCATTAAGGTATAATGTCAAAAAAGACTGTAGTGTTTCCAGATAATATCTGCTTGTTAGGTAGACAACTGAAGCAAAGCCAAGGTTTTTAACAGCTCTACAGGAACCCTTGATGAAATGACTTCAGTTCTAGAACATGAAATACCTGAGGCATGTGTCACCAAACCATTAGGTGTCTGACGAGTATGACAAGCAGAACTCTAAGAGATTGTCTGTTTTAAGTGTGCAAGCTGTAAGCTAGGTTCAGTCAGGGTTTCATATGCGTTATTAAAAACTAATACCTTCCAAGACGGTGCTTGGCTTGTCTGCCGAAGGGCCAGTTTGTCTAGTAGAACCATTGCTGAAAGAGCAGCAGGATTTAACAGACTTATTTCCTCTTCCCACTCTACTCCCAGCTGCTGCTGGCTCTGCAGGACAGTTACTACAATTTATCATCTCCTGAGAGATGAGTATACTGAAATAGAATGACATAATCATCATTTCATTTTATGGGGCTTATCAGTTGCAGCGTTCTAGGCACCTTGCAAACCTAAAGCCATTAAAACCGATAAAAATCATATAAATTATTTAGACTGAACCATGTTGCTGGGCTGCCAGCCTTTTTAGATGAGACTTCATACTCAACTCCCCCACGCCATAGTCTGAGGTCAGCGAGTCACTCGGCTGCTCTTCCAGAGACCTCCCTACCTCAGCACTGTTTCCAGCTGCAGTGGTACCTGCCTGCCTCTCAATATCCCCCACTGCTCGTTCACATCCTGCTTTCCCTGCTAGATGGCGAGTTCCACAGATAAGGACTTGACTAGAAAACCAGTCCCTGCCATGCCTTCACTGAAGTACCACAGGGATTAAATTAGCAGGCAAGCTGTTGCAAAGGATGCTCTTTGGGGTAACCGAAGGTTAGATCAGCATCCACCATTCTCATCTCAGACTGGACATAGAGTGGTTCCAGGCGTTTTTGGTGGTTCAGACTTCCCTTAGCTGTTTCCATTGACCTCAACCTAGCAGAAGGTATTCTCGAAGTCATTGGCTTAGTCATGTCACATTACTGGGTAAGAAATAAAATTCTGCTAAACAGATTTTTCACGAGTCTCAGAAGCACTTTTCTTTTTGTCTGTCCCAGTGCTTGTTATCTTTGGCGGAGATGGCTGTGCTTGCATGCAGTAACTGTTTTCTGTATCTCTACAGATTGCCAGGTCACGCTGTCAGTCCCACTATCTGCAGTCTAAACATTGATTTCCACAATAAATCATATGTTCGCAATCCTTTCCACCTTTGCACAAGGCCAAGAGAAGGTTTGGTGCAAGAAGGGAAATAAATCCATTTAGAAAATAGTGCTAGCTCTTCAATTATAGTTCAAACTATTAGTTCCTCCTGAGGCTGCTAACAGGCTTAAAAAAGAATGAAGCCCTGAAGGAAAATGTTTCCAGCACTTTGTATTAATAACGTGTATTTTGATGTTGCAAGGCTCAGGAGCCACATGTAGAGAGGCAGAAAGAAATGGGAGGGGGTAGAACCCACACCTGGGTCTGACCTCATCTTCGTCTCTGGCATTGGCAGAATATCTGTGTGTGTCGGTTATGTTGATTTTTTGCAGCTGTTGCACTGTGACTTTGAGAATTTTTTGATGTAAAGAAAACCTAGAGATTATTCAGACAGAAATATAAATTGTCTTGCTGGTCTCTAAATGGACCAGTTACACCTCCTCTGAAAACTGTATTCTTCAGCATCCATCCCTGGCTGTGATGTGGGGATCTTGGTGTTCCTTTGGCTGTTCAGCAATTGCACAACTGTTTTAATAAGCGTGTTTCATCCAGCCTGGCACAGACAGACACAAAGCTTTTCCTGGTGCACTGTCAGTAATTCCTTCTTCTCTCTGATCCCAGGGACAGAGGCATGGCCCCCGGGGGTTTGTCTGAAGTATGTCGGGGGAGACCAATTTGGCCACGTAAACATGGTGATGGTCAGGTCCCTGGAGCCCCAGGAGATGGCAGACGTCAGCGTTCAGATGTGTAGCCCCAGCACAGCGGGAATGTATAAGGGACAGTGGCGAATGTGCACTGCCACAGGAATCTAATACGTGATCCCTTTTCCGGCACTTCGGGCTCTGCTTCGTGGTATTCCCACCACTGAGAACATGGACGCTCCCGGCCCCCTGCAGGGACTCTCCTGATAACCAAGTGGTGAAGGTAGAGGGCTGCCAGCTCTGGGACTAAATATAGAAAACAGAATGGAGAAAACATCAAGTGAGCTGCTTTGTTGTCTTGGTCAGCACAGAACTGTTTTATAAACACTGGGACAAACTGCAGATAACGCAAAGCTCTGAAAAACAAAGGGACTCGCACAGTTCTGCTGGAGATGCTTTCCCAGTCGGTCCTTGTCAGGGTTCTTTCCCAGTTTTCCAGCGTTGAACATTGTGAACTACATACGGGCCTAAAATCTATTTAGGTGGCAAAAACCTCATCTGAGAAGTTTAATTAAGGCCCAGGTTTTAGTAGTGGAACTTAGTGCATCTACTTTGAACCATTTCTCGATGTTTAAAAAACCACTTTGGTGTTTTGCCTGGTGCCTCAGTCTGAGCCACCAACATCTCCATTCATTTGGAGTCTTGCAGTCACTTTTAGCCAGCTTTAGTTTATACTGAGAACATCTTTGTGTCTGTTTTGGCAGCTGGGAGTATCCCAAGTTACAAGGGTTTGAGTGAGAGATGTTAGCGCTCGGAGTCAAAAATAACTCTTTGCTCAGAAGTCCCGGGGTTTTGGCAGAACTGCCAGTAAACGTACGAGTCCCCGGCGTCGAGAGTGG